TCCTGGTTCATGTCCACCTTCCTAATGCACTTAAGTGAATGAATTTTTAAAGTAGAGAATTTATCTTTCCTACTTCCTCCATGCATTGTCCAGGGTGAGGGGTGTGTGTGTGTGTGTGTGTGTGTGTGTGTGTGTGTGTGTGTAGAGAATGAGTGCCTGCAAGTGCAAGCATTTCTCTCCTGTTACCTCCTCACTTACAAAGGATTCTCACCAATGGCCATCAGGGTTCAGCCAGGAAAATATTAGCCATTGTATGTATTCCAAGCACAAAAGTCTTAATGAAGAGTAAGAGCTTATATGAATGTAGGAAGAGCTGGAAGAGTAAAGGTCAAGAAATGTGACAATGAATTTTGCAAAAGTCCTTGCAAGGACCTCAGCCAGAAGCTCTAGAGTAGGTGGTCTCAATTGTTTTCTCAGAAATGATGGCATTTCTGAAGACTTTCTGGTAAACTACCACCAGCTATCTCACTGCAGCAGTAAAGAATGTTTCTCAAGGGTTCTCCAGGAACCCAATTGGGCATTTTTGTCTGTCTGCATATCTGGCTACCTTCCCATAGAGAATAATGGCTCCGTCTTTCTGCATTTCAAATATCATACAAGTGCTCTCCTTGACAAATACTAATCAAATCCCATATAAGGTAAGTAAATTCTGAAAGAAAAGTATTTGAAGTGCTTTGTGGTGAGAAAAACAGGAGTCTAGTAGCAGTGCTGAGTTGTCAACACATTCTAGGCTATAATTCCTCCACACTCCCTTACACTTCTGGATTTCCTAGAAACATTTGTTTGTCTATATCACAACCTTACTGGAGTTCAGATATATGTAGGGCAGAAAAATTAAATGGTGGATAGATCCATAGCAAAAGACTTAGCTATTTTTAACCTCTCTGGGTGGCAATCCATGATTTGAGGAACAGAGTAATGGATGGTAGATTTGAGGAATTAGGTGTATGTTGTAGGAATAGGGTCACCAAATGAGTGAAGAAGAAAATTGAAATATATCCAATGCTAACAGTATATTTAGGCAGCTTTACATTTTGCATCATTTTCACCTTAAAATACTCTCCAGTTCTTCATCAGAACTTAGTGGCATTTATCATGTTCTTTCTAGTGATTTGGTTCAGATTTTGTGTGTGTGTACTAACAAGATCATGGAGTCCTTGATATCAGGCACCATGTATTGCTCCTCTCTGAGTCATTCTTATCTAGTAGAGAACTTGACTTTAGTAGGCACTCAGTAAGTGTTTGCTACTTGATTGATAACCCTGTATTTCTTTAGTGTTTAGACTTCCTCAGTGAATGTGTGTGTATTAGAACCCACTCAAGTGTCACACTGAGAAAAATGGACATCATAAAACAGTTCAAAATAGCAGTGTAGCTGAATTGACAGTGAATGCATTGAAAAATGTGCCATAAATTTATACTCAAAGAACATACATCAAGTGTGTTGTGTTCTTCTGTGAGATAGTAAGAAGAGGCAGTCTTCTTCAAAAACTATAGCATTTCTTCATTTCCAGGAATATAAAGGCAGCAAATACCTAGAAAATGTTTTGGTTTAAAGACCATAAAATTGATTTTAAAAAGCTGTACCTTTACAACAATAATAGCAAATTGAACAATAAGGGATGGAAGCTCAGAGCTCTGGATACTTGAATCAGAAGAGGTAAGGTCTAGGCTGCTATAACACAGCAAAAACACATGATGGTTTAAATAAGGTAACAGTCTGGGAGTGGGGGGCCCGGATTGGTTCAGGTGTTTCTGCCTTATGAAGTTATTCAGGGAGTCAGAATCCTCCTGTCTTGTTCTGCCATCCCTTGGGTGCATGGTTGAAGTTGAGTTGCTGCCCCATTTGGTTCTGGTCTAAAGGAACTGGAAAGCATGGAGAGCAATTTCTAAAGAAGCTGCACACCTCATGTCCAGTCATCTTCTACTGCTGAGTACTTCATTATTTTTATTGATGCAGTTACATGTAAAGTATAGAGATGATGTGGGGTTTTAGAAAATGTTGCCTTTTTTCCCTAGTTCTTTGAATATATATATTAAGCATTATTTTAAAATTTGATGTCTGCTTTATCAAAGATAGGAGATACCACAGGTAGTCTGTCCTATGTAAAGTCCTAATTTTTTTTTTCTTTAACCTATGGAAGGAAGCCCACAAAGGCACTTTTAGCATATGTTGCTGCTTGTTTCTTCTTTCCTGGAAATAATAATGATAATTTTATAGCCTATTTTTTCCTTTTTTACTGAAGTGTAGTTGGCCTATAATATTAGTTTCAGGTGTACAACATAGTGATTCAACATTTATAAACATTAGGAAGCAGTCACCTGGATAAATCCAGCTATCATCTGTCATCAAAGTTGTTACAATATTGTTAACTATACATTTGATGCTATACATTATACCCCCATGACTTATTTATTTTCTAAGTGGAAGTTTGTACCTTTTAATCCCCTTCCCCTATTTTGCCCATTCCCCCAACTCCCTCCCCTCTGACAACCACCCGATTGTTCTCTTTATCTATGAGTCTGTTTCTGTTTGGTTTTTTATTTTGTTTTTTAGATTCCACATGTAAGTAAAATCATATGGTATTTGTTTCTCTCATTTATTTCACTTAGCATAGTACTTTCTAGGTCTACCCATGTTGTTGCAAACACGAGATTTCATCCTTTTTTGTGGCTGAGTAATATTCCTGTGTGTGTGTGTGTGTGTGTGTGTGTGTACATGCACTACTACATCTTTATTATCCATCTCTTGGACACTTATATTGCTTCCAGATCTTGGCTCTTGTAAATGATGTTGTAATTAAGGAGTGCATATGTCTTTTCAAATTAGTGTTTTTGTTTTCTTTGGAAAAATGTGCAGAAGTGGAATTGCTAGTTGTATGGTATTTCTGTTTTTAAGTTTTTGAAGAATCTCCATTCTTTTTCTGGCTACATTGTTTTGGATTTCCACCAATAATGCATAATGGTTTCCCCCTTTGTCTTCATCCTCAGCACACATATCTCTCATTGTGGTTTTGATTTCCATTTCCCTGATCATTAGTGATGTTGAGCATCTTCTCATGTGTCTATTGGGCATCTGTATGTCTTAATTGGATAAATGTCTATTCAAGCCTTCCAATTTTTTTAAATTGGATTGCTTTTTTATTTTTATACTGAGATGTGTGAGTTGTTTATCGTGCATGTCAACCTATTGGCCACATCATTTGCAAATATCTTTTCCCATTCAATAGGATGGATGCCTTTTCATGTTGTTGATGGTTTCCTTTGCTGTTCAAAAGCTTTTTATTTCGTTGTAGTTTTATTTGTGTTTTGTTGCCTTTGTGTGAGAAGACAGATCCAAAAAAATTATTGCTCAGGCGGATGTCAAAGAGCTGGCTGCTTATGTTCTAGGAGTTTTATGATTTCTGGTCTTAAATTTAGGTCTTTAATCCATTTTGAGTTTTTGTGTATGATATAAGAAAGTGGTCCAATTTCATTCTTTTGCATATGTTGTCCAGTTTCCCTGACACCATTGGTTGAAGACTGTCTTCTCTCCATTGTATATATTTGCTTCCTTTGTTGAAGATTGACTATATGTAAAGGTTTATTTCTGGACTCTCTTGTCTGTTGCATTGATCTATGTGTTTATTTTTGTGTCAGTACCATACTCTTTGGTCACTGTAGCTTTGTAGTGTAGTTTAAGTATCAGGAAGTCTGATACCTCCAGCTTTGTTTCTTCACACAATTGCTTTCATTATTTGGAGTTTTTGTCGTTCCATATGTATTTTAGGATTTTTTGTTCTGGTTCTGTGAAATGCCATTGGTAATTTTGATAGGGATTGCATTGAATCTGTAGATTACTTTGGTAGTATGGGCATTTTGACAGTATTCTTCCATGAGCATGGTATATCTCTCCATTTATTTGAGTCACCTTCAAATACAACAGATTTATGTATATTAATTTTATATCCTGCAGATTTACTGAAGCAATTTTTTCTAATAGATTTTTTTGGGTGGAGTCTTTAGAGTTTTCTATAGTATTTCATCTGCAAATAAGGACTACTTGCCTTTTTTTCCAATTTGGTTGCCCCCTTCTTTTTTTTTTTTCTTGTGGAATTGCTGTGGCTGAGATTTCCAATACCACATTGCATACAAGTGGCAAGAGTGGCCATTCTTGTCTTTTCCCTGATCTTAGAGGAAAAACTTTAAGGGTTTCCCAATTGAGTATGATGTTAGCTGTGGATTTGTCATTTATGGCCTTTATTATGATATCGAGCTACATTCTCTCTGACCCACTTTGTGGAGAGTTTTTAATCATAAATGGATGTTGTATTTTGTTAAATGGTTTTTCTGTGAGATGAACTTATGTTTCTTTTTGTTAACGTAGTGTATCACATTGATTTGTAGATATTGAACTATCTTTGCATCCCTAGAATAGATACTGCTTGATTATGGTGTGTGACCCATGTACTATATTTTTTATTTTGGTTTGCTAATATATTCAGGATTTTTGCATCTGTGTTTATTTGTGATATTGGCCTGTAATTTGGGAAGGATAGATATTAACTCTTCTTTAAATGTTTGGTAGAATATACCTGTGAAGTGGTCTAGTCCTGGATTTCTGATTGTTGGGAGTTTTGGATTACTGATGCAATGTTATTACTAGTAATTGGTCTGTTCAGATTTTCTGTTTCTCCTCATTCAGTCTTTGGAAGATTGTATGGTTCTAGAGACATCTGTTTCTTTTAGATTGTCCCATTTGTTGGCATGTAATTGTTCTTAGTAGTCTCTTTTCCTTTTTATTTCTGTGATACTGGTTATAACTTCTGAGGTTTAGTTTGGAACATATTCCTTTGTCTCCTCATTTTGTCTGACTCCATTTCTGTGTATTTGGTAGATCAGTTATGTCTCATGGTCTTGATGGGAGTGACTTTATTTAGAAAGTGTCCAGTGGGGTCCAGTTGTGTAACCCCAATGCTCACCCAAGGCAGATGCTCCAGCAGTGTCTCCCTGTGGGTTACATGCATGCACCCTTCTGTTGTGGCTGGGCTGTGATAGGGCTGTGCTCTGGTGTGGCTGGCTGTGAGGCCCCGCCACAACTGCTACAGACAGATACACTGGTCAGTGGGCCCGGTTCCCCAGCCTTTTGGGTAAAAGGCCCAGCTGTGACTGCTGTGGGCATGCTGGTGGTGGGGTGGGCCTACACTGCAGCTGGCCACAAGGTCTGGCAGTGACTGCGGCAGGTGCTCTGATGGATAGGGCTGGCCCCTTGGGGCAGGACTGACACTCTTGGCCTAGGCCATCCACTAGAACGTGATGGCCTGCTTGAGGGTAGTTCTGGTACCTTTTGCCAGGTTGGCAGGGTGGGGAGCTGCTTGGAAGGGGCAGGTTGGGTGGAGCAACTTCTCAGAAGAATGCTCTGTAGGTGGAGAGTGTCTGAATTGACTCCTGTCAGCACTGGGTCAGCTTAGTAGAAGGGGAGTGAGTCAAAAGTGGTCATGCCAGTGCTTCCATCCCTGGTGAATATTGCAGCAGATCCTGTTCCTCTGGCAACATGCCCTAAAATTAGTCAATGAAATTTGTCTTCCTGTGTAAACTTGGTGCTTTTCAAACTGCTGCCTCTGTTCTGAGACTTGGAACAGGTGAGATGTGTGCACCCTTTAACATTTAGGTGGAATCTTGGTTTCCTGCTGCTCTTTGGCTCTCCTGGACATAAGCCCCCACTGGTTTCCAAAACCAGATGTCAAGGGGGCTCCTCTTCCTAGTGCAGGTTCCCTGGGCTGGGCTGGGGAGTCGTCCGATAGGTACTTTGAGCCCTGGTTCTTCAGGGAGGAGCTGTATGGTTGTGATATCTCTCCTGCTTGTGGGTCATCATTCTAGGGGTGTGGGTCCTCACTAGATGGCCCCTGGTATTCCTTCTAAACATCCGATACAAGGGTAATTGAGAGCAACTGGGGTTCTTTAGAAAGTTTGTCTATTGTATTTGGTGAGGCTAGATGGCCAAGGAGCAGATTCAAATAGTTTGTGAATAGTAACAATAATAATAGAAAAAAGGTGAATTTTGACAAAAATGAAGTCTCAATAAGACTTTGTGATGAGATATTTGAAGAAGGACTCAAAGGGTAGGCATTTCTTTTTTTTAATTTCATTGTAGTTAACATACAGTTTTGTATTAGTTTCAGGTGTGCAATATAGGGATTCAACAAAGCTATGCATTACTCAGTGCTCATCATGGTAAGTGTGCTTTTAATCTTCTTCACTTATTTCACCCATTCCCTCACCCACCTTCCCTCTGGTAATGATCAATTTGTTCTTTATAGCTAAGAGTCTGTTTTTTGGCTTGTCTATTTTATTATTTGTTCATTGATTTCTTAAATTCCACATGAGTGAAATCATAAGGTATTTTTCTCTTATTTCGCTTAGCATTATATTCTCTAGATCCATCCATGTCATTGCAAGTGTGTGTGTGTGTGTGTGTATGTGTGTGTCCGTGTGTCTGTGTGACCTCTCCTTTATGTATTCATCTATTGATGGGCAGTTGGGCTGCTTCTATAATTGAGCTGTTTTAAATAATGCTGCATTAAACATAGGAGTGCATATATATTTTTGAATTAGTGTCTTTGTATACTTTGGGTAAATACCCAGTAAGTGGAATTATTGGGTTATATGGTAACTCTATTTTTAATTTTTGGAGGAACTTCCATACCGTTTTCCACAGTGGCTGCACCAGTTTGCATTCCCAACAGTGCACCAGGGTTCCCTTATTGCCACATCCTTGCCAACTCGTGTTTCTTGTGTTTTTGATTTTAGCCATTCTGACAGGTGTGAGATGATACCTCATCGTGGGTTTTGATTTGCATTTCCCTGATAGGTGTGTTGAGCATCATTTTATGTGTCAGCCATCTATCTGAAGGTCTTTGGAGAAATGTTTGCTCATGCCTTCTGCATTTTTTAAAAAACTGAATTATTCTTTTTGGTGTTAAGTTGTATAAGTTCTTCATATATTTTGGAAACTAACCCTTTCTGAGTATGTCATTTGCAAATATCTCCTCCCATTCAGTAGGTTGTCTTTTAGCTTTTTCCTTTGCTATGCAAGAAGCTTTTTATTTTAATGCAGTCCCAATAGTTTATTTTTGCTTTTGTTTCCCTTGATTCAGGAAATCTATCTAGAAAAATGTTGCTTTAGCTGATGTCAGAGAAGTTACTGCCTGTGCCCTTCCAGGATTTTTATGGTTTCAGGTCTCACAATTAGATCCTTAATCCATTTTGAGTCTATTTTTGTGAATAGTGTTAGAAAGTGGTCCAGTTTCATTCTTTTGCATGTAGCTGTCCGGTTTTCCCAACATTTGTTGAAGACTTTTTCCCATTGCATATTCTTGCCTCCTTTGTCAAAGATTAATTGACTATATAATTGTGGGTTAATTTCTGGGTTTTCTATTCTGTTTTGTTGATCTATGTGTCTGTCTTTGTACCAGTACCATATTGTTTTGATTACTATAGCTTTGTAATATAACTTGAAGTCTGGAATTGCTATAGCTCCAGTTTTGTTTTTCAAGATTATTTGGCTATTTGGGATCTTTTGTGGTTACATACAAATTGTAAGATTGTTATAGTCCTATGAAGAATGCTCTTCATATTTTGAAAGGAATTGCATTAAATTTGTAGGTTGCTTTAGATAGTATAGATATTTTAACAAAAGTGGTTCTTCCAGTCCGTGGGCATGGAATATATTTCCATTTGTTTGTGTCTTCAGCTTTTTTCATCAATATCTTATAGTTTTCATAGTACAAGTTTTTCACCTCCTTGGTTAAGTTTATTCCTAGGTATTTTATTATTTTTGGTATAATTGTAAATGGAGCTATTTTCTTAATTTCTCTTTCTGCTACTTCATTATTAGTGTATAGAAATGCAACAGATTTCTGTATATTGATTTTTATATGCTGAGACCGTACTGCATTTATCAGTTCTATAGTTTTTTGGTGAAGTTTTTAGGGTTTTCTATATATAGTATCATGTCATCTGCAAATAGTGAAAGTATTACTTCTTCCCTACCAATTTGGATGCCTCTTATTCCTTTTTCTTACCTGATTGCTGTGGCTTGGAATTCTATTACTATATTGAATAAAAGTGGTGAGAATGGACATTTTTGTCTTGTTCCTGATTTTAGGGGAAAGTTCTCAATTTTTCACTGTTGAGTATGATGTTAGCTGTGAGTTTTTCATGTATGACCTTTATTAAGTTGAGGTATGTTACCTCCCTCTAAATCTACTTTGTTGAGAGTTTTTATCATGAATGGATTTTGAATTTTGTCACATGTTTTTTCTGCATTTATTGAAATGATCATACGATTTTTATCCTTCTCCTTATTTATATGATGTATCACAATGATTTTGTGAATATTGAATCAACCAAGCATGTCAGGAATAAATCCCACTTGATTGTGGTGAATGATTTCTTAAATGTATTTGGATTCAGTTTGGTAGTATTTTGTTGCAGATTTTTTGCATCTAGGTTCATCAGAGATATTGGCCTACAGTTTGTTTGTTTGTTTGTTTTGGTGGTGTCCTTATCTAGTTTTGGTATCAGGATGATGCTGACCTCATAGAATGAATTTGGAAGCTTTCCTTCTTTTCTATATTTTGGGATAGTTTGAGAAGAATAAGGATTAACTCTTCTTTAAAGGTTTGGTAGAATTAACCTGTGAAGTCATCTGGTCCTGGACTTTTGTTTGTTGAGAGTTTTTTGATTACTGATTAAATTTCAATGCTGGTAATTTGGTCTGTTCAAATTTTCTATTTCTTCTTAAGTTTTGGGAGGTTCTATGTTTCTAGACATTTATCCATTTTTTTCTAGGTTGTCAAATTTGTTGTCATACATTTTTCATAATATTCTGTTATAATCCTTTGTATTTCTATGGTGTTGGTTATTTTTCCTCTTTCATTTCTGATTTCATTTGAGTAGTCCCCTTTTTTTTTTTAATTAGTCTGGCTAAAGGTATATCAATTTTGTTGATCATTTCAAACAACCAGTTACTGGTTTTGTTGATAAGTTCTATTGCTTTTTGGTTTGCATTTCATTTTCTAATCTTTATTATTTCCTTCCTTTTACTAGTTTTAGATTTTAATCTTTTTCTAGCCCCTTTAGGTGTAAATATAGGTTGTTTGAGATTCTTCTTGAGGTAGGCCTGAATTGCTGTAAACTTCCCTTTTATGACTGCTTTTCCTGCATCACAGTGATTTTGGACTGTTGTTTTCATTTCTGTTGGTCTCCATGTATTCTTTGATTTCCTCTTCGATCCATTAATTGTTGAGGAGCATGTTATTTAACTTCCATGTATTTGTGGTCTTTCCTGATTTTTTCTTATGGTTGATTAATAGTTTCATATTGTTCTAGTCTGAAAAGATGCATGGTATGACTTTAGTCTTTTTGAATTCAAAACTTGTGGCCTAATGTGGGATCTAGCCTTGATAATATTCCAAGGGCATAGAAAAGAATGTGTGTTCCGGTGTTTTAGGATGGAATGTTCTGAATATATGTGTTGGAGCCATCCGGTCCAGTGTGTCATTCAAAACCACCATTTCCTTGTTGATTTTCTATTTGGATGACCTATCCATTTATTTAAGTGGGGGTGTTGAAGTCCCCTACTATTATATTACTATTAATTTCTTCTTTTATGTCTGTTAATAGTTGCTTTAAGTATTTGGGTTTTCCAGTGTTGGGTGCATAAATACTTATTATATCTTGTTGGATCTTTTTCCTTTATGATTATATAGTGTCCTACTTTGTCTCTTGTTCTACTCTGCTTTAAAGTCTAGTTTGTCTAAGTTTTGCTACCCCGGCATTTTTTTTCCACTTCCATTTGTGTGATAAATGCCTCTCCATCCCTTCACTTTCAGTCTGTATATGTCTTTAGGTCTGAAATGAGCCTTTTGTAGGCAGTATATAAATGGGTCTTATTATTTCTTTTAAATCTATTCCATCATCCTTTGTCTTTTGATTGGAATATCTTGTCCATTTATAATTATTGATAGGTATGTACTTTGTTTTTGTTGCTTGTTTTATGGGTTTTTTTTGTTTTTGTTTTTGTTTTTTGTAGTTCCTTTCTGATTCTTCTCTTGCTCTCTTCTCTCTTGGTTAGTTGGCTTTCTTTAGTGATACACTTTGATTCCTTGCTCTTTATTTTTTAGGTATCTATTACTGCTTTTTGATTTTTTGTTGCCAT